AATATGCTCTTTTCTGAAAGCATGAGAGGTTAGCAGTTGGTTTATTAAGACAGTGTTTGTGTTTTGTGTTAACACTATATACATCTGCATTTGTCCGAAAATGTTCATCATTATTTGTATTGAAGTTTATTAATGAATATATATATTCACAAGTTAAAGTTAAAATATGTAGTCTGTTAAATAGATCTCTACAGGAATTACGGGATTTGACACCCATCATGATTCTGACAATTTTCTTTTGCGATGTAAATACCTTTTCACTGTCAGATGTTTTAGAAACATGTTCACATAGTGTGAGGTATGCTTAGAAGCAGAGGATATCACTTCAAGACTCTTCTGTAAAATAAGGTAAGTTAAACTACTGTGGAAAAGTGGGTTGTGAACTATTAGTTATTATGACAGGTCTGTGTGAGAGAGTTCCCTGTCAGCTGCTGTGGCCTGTCTAAAAATAATCTACCCTTCCTGTATGTTGTTATGTGTCTTTCCTTTCAATATGCAATACACATCTTATAACTGAGAATCTGGCCCCTACAAAGATTTTGGCGTCCTTGGATATGATGTCTGTAGTTCTGACGACAGACAGCCCAAAGTGTTCTTCACAGTTTTGCATGAAGAGACGCAAAAAGGCTTTTGCAGCAGTGTCCTTTGTTGAGTCGAAGAAATGGCTTTGACTGCACCTGTATCCTGTTGCTTGCACATTACATGTGATCATTATTGTAGGTTAGGTTTGGTTATATTATAGTTCATATGAGTAAAAATTGTAACATATTTGCCCTTCTACCTCACCTCTTCTTTTTTGTCCCTTCTAGTATCAAGCTTCTTGACATACTTCATATACAGATGTACCTCAACTTCATTCTTAAATTTCCTGTAGAGTAATTAACTGCACAGAGTCCTTTAGACTGTGATGTTTGGTTGAATAATCAAGAAATTTCCCAACTTTTATGGGATGTGAAGATTTATGTCACTTTGAGGCTGTGTGTATCATTTTGTTCAGCTCCCAAGCTGGATGGCCACACGTTGTCGACTGTCTGAAACTGCTTATTACTAGTCTACTAGTTGTTGCATAAGGCATTTTGAGGATGAAAGATTGCTGCATAATTCTTTGCTGAAGAATCCCAATTCACATAAAATTCAAAATTCTCTATGCAACTTCATATATTGACTTGTGATCATAAAATAAGGGTAGCCTTCCCAGTTTCACATGTGAACTCCAGAAATAGGGAGACATTTGTTTGAGGGCATCCATCTGTGCCTAGAATTGAAATCATTTTCACTGTGCAACCATTGACTGACCAAATATTGTTTTCAGGTAGCGTCACATCCTCATATTACAATTACTGGAGACCTGCTGCATTCAAGCATTTGTCGGGAGGACACACGGAGAGTTTTCCTTCCTGTGTCAGAAACACTGTTCAAGAAACTGATAAATGTGTGGTGAGTAGCTGACTTATGTTTGTAACAGCTGGGTCTTGTCCTGAACCAGTTAAGTATGTTTCACATCACTGAAATCAATTTAATTAAGATCATTTTTAAGGTACTTATGTAGTAATGGGTAAACCATGTAAGTTAAATTTATTGCTGTGTTGTATGACAAGTTAATCTGCATCATGACTGCACAGTTTGATGGAAGTTCACTCATGATCCCACCCATATATAGAATGAATGGGTGCAGTTAAGGATTGATGACAAAGAAATTGCTGAAACATTTATTCACCTTCTCCCTGGAAGTTTTTATGTTTCACTGGCAGACACACACTAATGTATAGCTTCATATCAACTGATTATTCTTGCCCTTTGCACTCAGTTGACAGAATTCTGCTCCTTTGAAGAAAACTCACTTCCTTCTCTTCAGTCTTAGCAAATCCCACAACTTCCTTATTTCTGAGGGAATTCACAGCACAAGGTGTGCTGAGAGACGTGAGACTGACAACTCTGTAGTTGATGTAGTTTTGAAGTTACTTATGTCACTTAAATAGTAAGTAGCCTTCCTGCAATATTATCCTCTCATCCTCACCTTCAAACTTACTTTTTCCATGTTTTTTCTTTTGTTATGTGCAGTGTTTGAGTGGCTCTTAACCTAGTATAATTTATCAGGTTTTCACTGCGGAGATTGTGCAGATTGTGATGTACAGGGTTGTGTCAGCATGTAGCCTTATATGTGGTTAGCAGGGTTTCAGAGCAGCAGGCTGTGTCCACCTTCGTGGCCATAGTGACTCTAGATGTTACCTTCAGTTTCTACATTTTTACAAACTGTACAGTGTCACAGTATCACTCAGCAGATGCAGTGCAGCCACTTGTAGTAACATCTGCTATTTGTCTGCATTCCATATACATTGCATGAAGTACTATATAATGTAGCATGTAGAATGGTTGGTAAGTAATGACTCTGTAAACAGTGCCTGTTACTAGGCAACAGATTCATATCACACACCAGTGGAGTAACTTGGAAGCAGCGTTTTCTATGCAGCCCACATGACAGGTAAGTGACAGAACACCCACCGTGGCGGCCCGGGTTCGATTCCGGGTCTGGTCAAGTGGGATTTGTGGTGGACAAAGTGGCGCTGGGGCAGGTTTTCTCCGAGTACTTCGGTTTCCCCTGCCAATCTTCATTCCACCAATTGCTCCACAATCACCCTCACCTATCATCTGGGGCTGTTACAATAGGCCAGAAGTGGCCGCAGTACAAGGGACTTAGTCTCACCCCACTAGCAATAAAAAAAAGTGACACAACAACAGAAGAGAGGGAGAGGTGTTTTCTACATAGTCCGTTTTGAGGCTATATAATGAGGAGCAGATGCGATTATGAGAATCTACAGTCTTGCGACAGCAGTTAGAAGTGTAGGAGTTATTTGTGAGACAGCCACCAGTCAGTAAGGATGTGAACATGGAAGCTAAGGAAGCTACAGCATTGGAAGCCATTACCAGGTGACAACTAGTGAAGATGCAGCAGACTGAGAAAATATAGTGCATGCTGTAGCGATCTGTAGAGTGTGTGAATTAGCAATAGCACTATGGTTACTTATAGTTACGTTCTGTAAGAGTTCAGTACGTCCAATTACCGATCCATATTCCGTCTATAATCACTCTAAAATCGTGACAATATAAATAATGTGATAAAACTATATAACATTTTGGATGTAAAGTAAAAAAGTAAAGCTATCCCTATAACGGGCCGTGGAGGGCCATAGGGTGGTGAGACATTGAGGGTCCCACATTATCTAGACAATTGGCTCACAGATGGCGGTGAGGCTGTCAGCCTTATGCGCCGGCCACGCTTTTCTCCTCAGGAAAATTATTTAATTAATTCCTGATACTCATTTCTGTTAGAGTCAGAGTCGACCCCAGGGCCATTGTGTGGTTGGAAGGATTAGGTCAATTGAAAAAATTCAGTGACCTCATCGGGACTTATCTAAAATTAATTTATTTTAACAGGATGGGGCAGAATGCAATGAAAATTAACTCAGACATTACAATTTATGTATTTCATCAAGTGCAAACATTTGTGAACACTGGCCAACATAGAGCTAATAACAGTTAAGCTGACAATAAATGTAAAATAGCCCGATGATAGCCCACAGGCCAAAACATGTTGAAATGATGAAGAATGATATATAATTAATTCATTTGTATGCAGTAGTTCTGTTGATGAGACTTCTCGTATGCATTTAATTCCGCTGTTATTGCTGTCAGATTCTGGTCTTGTGGGTTTTGAGACCATGGCAACCAACATTTTGGAGGACCATCTTCAGGGTCAAGGTGTGCACAGTATGATGGACCTTAACGCCATAATCTGAACATTCAATCACTGTCAAAACCTGAAAACTTTACATTGTTTATCTTTTTTTTTGTCCTAATTTAAAATTTACTCAAACTTGCATCATTTATTTATTTATTTGTGGTTTATTTATCAAAACTCTCAGTAGCCCGGCTACTGAGTGGTACTACTAGCTCAGTGGTACGCAGATTAATGAGTAATGAATTGGATAAAATGTGGACCAAAGTGGCTTATCAGAACTGACCCAGCATTCACCTGATGGAACTGAAGAAACTCATGAAGAACCTGAGTCTGGATAGTCATTGTGCTAGCAGAGATTCAAACTAGGCACCTCCTGAATATAAGTCAGAAGCATGTCCACGTTGAGCCATCTTTCTTGATATCTTGTGTTATGTACAGGCATTGTAGAGGTGTACATATGCATGCAGTTCATGACCATGATAATGCTCTTGATGCCTCTGTTCACAGGTATGAGCAAGGCTTGGTGGAGGCACTGCGTCTTGCAGCAGAACCACAAGATGGCAGGGAAGTGCCTGTAGCTCTCAAGTTCATTGCTTCATACATGCTGAGGGTGATTTCTATGATAAATCATGTCCGCAACTCATTCCACCCTCATCTCTGGGTAAGATGTCCCAATTATTTTACAAAAGCAGCATGATAAACTAACAAAGAGTTCTTCAGAAGTGACAATTTACTATTTAGCACATCACTCATATAGAGGTTAGCCATCTGGCTTTGGTTTCCATAGATAACCATTCATCGATCTACTCTTACATGTTATATACTTTGAGGGACATGTTTAAACCACAGTTTCACTGCATATGCGTGATGCGATCTTGAAAAGTTCTGGAAAGATAGCTTGATAGAATAAGCATGGTGGTCTTGGTGGTATTGGTGGTGGTGGTGGTGGCGGCGGTGGTGGTGGCGGCAGTAGTAATAACCTAGAGGCAGGGCCTGAGAGGTCAGATACAGCCAAGGTCAGTCTCAAATGTGGGGCTTCCCACTCCTCTGCAAAGCCATATAAATATATCAGTATATTTAATAAGTACTTCAAAAATCATATTTTCTATTATTTGGTAAAATAAATGTTAATTTATGTAATAGAAACAATTTGTGGAGTTCCTACATTCTTGCTTACTAAGTGTAATTGTTCTTTAATTAAATGTTGAGCTGCGTTTCCTCTGCTACCATTTGTGCCGTCTGTCCGGTCTGCTACCACAGCACCGTCACTCTCTGGCACCTTACGGCTCCGTCTACCCTTCCTCAATCAGAGGGGGAAACGTTGCTCCGTCATATGGCTCTCGTGCTGTGCTCGCACGCTCCCTAAGTTAGTGTAAGGGATCCAAGCTAGCAGCGAAGTAAATGTAGTTACAAATGATGGCAATCAATATAATAACAAATAACAGAATTTAATATACACAACAGAAATTAAACAGAACAACTGAACTAACTGCACATTTACATGCTCGCACACAGCGGCATCTAACTCGGGCAGAATGGCCCATATTACTGGCACAACAATTTGCCTTGGTTGCTTGAAAACATAACTACTACAT